AGTGTGTGTGTGTGTGTGTGTGTGTGTGTGTGTGTGTGTGTGTGTGTGTACTTTAAATATAGACAGAAACAATTTTAAAACACTTTTGATAAATGAGTAAAGTACACTGATAGCAAACTGTGAAGGGATCAATATATTCATAGACTTCTTGTAAGCAATTCTATTTTCATGGATTTGGTAGTAAACCTGCACCACATTCTTCCGGACATATTTTCCAGTTACCCCAACAGCTGTTGCAGCACTATATCATCTTCTTCTGATCTGTTTCAGAAGATTCATTTTTCACTGCTGTATTTGAAGAGTTCCCATCAACTTGACAGAAGAACTTCTTAGTTGTTTCGTATGTCCAGTGTGGATTAATTATGAATGTAAATATACTTAACCCCATGAAAAAGATGATAAAATACGGAAGTCCCATATTTTCCACCACATCATTCCAATTGGAAATACACACCCACAGCATGTGATAAGAAAGGACCATGCGGCAGTGACACATGCGGATCAGTACCCATTGGTTTGCCTTCCAAAAATGGGTATTTTCATAGCCAATCTGGAAGAGACAACAACAAAGAAAGAGACATGAAATTGCAGTTTCAAGATAAGGCAGTCAATGTTTTCTATAAATAAGAGACATATTTAGCTTTCCTGTTCTGTTTAGTGTAAACTGCCATACAAAAATTCTCTCAATCATTTTTCTCTGGAGTGCTAAAAGATTGCACATTTACAAAGCACCTTTTGTCCAGCAGAATTCTAAATCACTTCGCCATCTATGTGCATACAACATCACTTAGATGCAGCCATCTGTTGAAGGGAGGAAGACAATCAAAACAAAGCACTCTCACAAAAGTGCATGGGGGCTACCAGGGTCTGGAAAATTATGGCAAACACCTCCCAAGCAAACCTTGACTCTAGCTGCTCTAGCATCTACATGCACAGACAGGGCCTTCAAGTGTAAGTTCTCATTAAAAGCATCACAGGAGGGCTGAGGTGAACCTGCCAGGGCTTGTGGCTATAGTTTTAAAGAGTCCAGACATTTTAGAATTTATGCTTAAACCACTCAGACATACCGCTTGGAACAGATTGCGGTTTCAGAAGCAGGGCTGATTTCTTCTCTCCCTACAAGCATGGCAGATCTCTTCAAAGCTGTTCTCCCTCTCTAAATCCATAGAGTATATATATATACACACACAGATGTGAGGGCACACATGCACACACCTTTAGTCTCCAGCAGAAATTCAATGGTCTATATTAAGCTTGTTGGAGCTGATGAGCTATTCTTATGTTACTATTTTCAGTCTTAAACAAATATTTTAAAAATAGAGTTTAGTCACCTAATCTTTAGTCCTGTGCACTAGATCCCAACTAGTGAGTCTGTAAAGTAATTTTTAAAAATCTATCCATTTTCTTTCTTTGCTACAAAATGGGCAAAAATGTTTAATATCTAAATATTTTAGCATGTTATAATTAAGGATTACCATGGCCATTTCACTTCAAGTTTGGAAGGAAAAATTCTTCCTTGATCCCAGAACTAATCTCTTAATTTGGAAGCCAATATTTCTTTGCAGATATTTTGTGAGCAGGAGGCAATGTGAGCTTTATAATGGAAACTTCTATCACCAATGATAAATACACGAAGTTATTACCTTTGAAAGCACATGGGAGAGGCAGGTTGAAGGAGAACTTATCTCAAGTAGCAGTCCAGTCAAGATTAGATAGTGTCCAGACTTTATGTTTGTTATCACAACAAGAATCGCACCAAAGGCAAATAAATGATGAACCACTGAAAACACATCAAACATCCCGAAAAGAATATTAGAAACATGAAGAAGTACATTGTCAAGTAAAAAGTAGCCAGCGGCTATTAAGCAATGAAAATAGCTCCACTTTTGCTGTGAATACACTTGGTCAGCTTGAAAAACTGGATCTATGAACCAGGCCCACAAGCCAGCTCCACAACTCTGAACTGCAAACACACCACGTGTCATATGCATATTCCAGAAGGCCTTCTCCTTTCCTGGCAAAGTGCGATAACTGGCACTGATCCATGAGGACAGCCAGTGAGCTAGAAGAAATACTCCCAGGTAGATAAAAAAACCAGCTGCTAGTAATGTCAAACGAACTTCCCACAGAACATAGTCCCAGTCATATATGTCTCTGGATGTTCCACTCTTGTTTGCAAGATTCATTTCTTCTTCCCTAATTCGAAATATTTGGAGGGAGTCTGAAGTGTTGGTCCACGTGTTGGTCTATGTTAAAGCTACTGAGCCTGTGCTGTTAAACGGAGCAGAAACCCATCTGCAATTAATAAAAAAAAGAAGAGACGTGTAGAGAATGGCCCAGTGTATGTATATATATGATCTTCCCATTTATGAAAGCTTCGACTAATATTTCCACTAATATTTCCCAACAGTTCAGAACTGACAAAAAGACCCTCAAAATAAAATAACCTACAAAAAGATGGCCCAGTCGGCTAAACACTTATATGGTCACCTTACTTTTTTCAATATCCTAAAAAAACCTCAACAACTGAGGCTTACAATTCTCCAGTGGCATATTTAAGCATTTCTGAACCTTCATTTTTTTCATCTGTAGAGCCCTCTGGATATGTCTACACTGTATTTGAAACCCTGCAGCAGTGAGTCTCTGAGCCCTGATCTACAGACTCAGACTTGTGCAATGGCGCAACAGACTCAGACTTGTGCTATGGCACTAAAATCACCCGTGTAGATGTTCAGGCTTGACCTGGTGCTTGAGTTCTGGAATTCACAGAAGGGGTCAGTTTGAGCGCCCAAAACGCAATGTTTACAGTGCTGTTTTTGATGTAGCATGAACTTTGGACTCTGAAACTTGCTGCCACTGGTTTTAAAATGCAGCATAATCATACCCTGTGACAGGATGCATCAGCCCCCAGTCACCCTGCATTGCATGGGGAAGGGTTAACACCACATTATGCGCTGAGGAAGCAATACCCTCCTCAACCCTACTTGGCATGCTCCAAGTGTAGCTGCAGACCAGCTCAGTCGGGGCTGACAACTCAGGAGGAAGGATGCTCACTGTGGGCTCCAGCCCGGGAAGTACCAGAGGCTCTGACAGTGGGAACCAGGGACACTGAAGCCCAGGCTGAGACCCAGAGAATGGCGGCGGTCTGCGAGTAGTATATACCTCAATAGCATTCATCACCATGTATTTTTGACAGGTTTCCATGCCCCATTTAGGGCTTATGTCCCGCCCTCCATCCCCGTTTCCATTGGTGTCAAGGTTTGATGTCATCGGCCATTTTGAAAAAAATGATTATTTTTTATGTTTGACTAGGGGGAAAGTTGCGTACTTGTGCTTTGATACATTTGGATGATTGTTTAGAGAAAATGGTTGAAAGAATAAAGTGAGAGAGCTTAAAGATTCAAAAAAAGCTTTGGTAAGGTTTAGAGGAAAAAAGGAAAGAAAGTTTGTTTGGTTAGGTTTAGTAAGGAGAGATGATTTTAAAGGCCAATTTGGCATGTTATTAAAGAATAGAAAGAGAACTTAAAGAAAAATAAAGATTTTTGTTTTTAAAGGGTTAGTTTGAAAGAATAGAGGTAAGTTATTAAAGAAAAGAGATTTTTGGTGAGATTGAGTAAGTAGAGATGATTTTAAAGGCCTAGTTTGGCATGTTATTAAAGAATAAAAATTTTAAAATAAATGTAAAAGGTATTAAATATAAGGGTAGGTTAAGAAAAGAGCATTTAAAACATCAAATAATATTGAAAACTATAAAAATCGGTTAAAAAGAACACACGTGGCAAAAAAAAAGGGGAATTTTCTAAGGCAGGGTCTGTTTAGTAAGCACATGGTAAAAAATATAAAGGGTGGTTAATAAAGAAGCATTTAAACTATTTAATACAAGGGTAGGTTAAGAAAAGAGCATTTAAAAAGAGTTTAATAAAAGAGAAATATATAAAGATAGGTTAAAAGAGAGAACAGGGCAAGAAAAGGGAAAAGGAAGCCCCTTTGCAAAGATAGACAGCACGTGGTTGAGTCAGATAGAGAGATCTTATTCTTCCAAGTGTTTCTGCAGAAGGAGGCAGCTGCCCAGGTTCACAGCCCCTCGGGCTTGTTATCACTGCCTTTGGATTGGACCAATCAGATGTTGTTCTACAGCAGCATCATAGAATTTATTTTCCTGAACCAATCCTATAGTGTCAATTTTTTTAAACAAGAGCCATCTCACTCCTCTCCCCTCCCTCCCCTTTAACTGCCTTATTCTTATCTAAGAAAACAGATTCTAAGCATTTTTCCCGCCACATGGGGCTTTAATGAAAGTTAAAACCATAAGTCCTTAGTAACAAACAATTGTTAAAAGTTTTCCCCTATGTTTTAGACTAACATTTTAGTAAGGATAATTTGAAGCTGCAGCAAAGCCCCTGTTAGCAAAAACAGTGTCTATGAGTCAGTGGCTCAGAGATAAGAAGGTTGCTTCTTCCCCAAACCTTTTGACAAATGCAAATAAAAGTTACATTACGTTTTGTAAAGGAATAAAGCTCTGCTTTATAATTACTTGAAAATACAAGCCTATATGAAGACATATCACTCTATTTACAGGTGTGTTTCAATAAAAAAAGAGCATGCAGAAACACCCCAGGCCTAAACCCACAAATCCTCAGTAACAAAAAGTTTTTAAAAGCTTTTCCCTATGTTTTTAGTGAGGACAATTTGAAGCAGCCTTTTTAAGTTAATGGATTAGAAAAGAAGACCACTTTGAAAAACAACTCTATCTGAAGACACATCCCTTCATTTAGCCCTTTTGGATATGCTGTCTCTTTAACTTGTCTCTATTCTTTCAAACTAACCCTTTAAAAACAAAAATCTTTATTTTTCTTTAAGTTCTCTTTCTATTCTTTAATAACATGCCAAATTGGCCTTTAAAACCATCTCTCCTTACTAAACCTAACCAAACAACTTTTCTTTCTTTTTTTCCCTCTAAACCTTACAAAAACTTTCTTTTTTTAATCTTTAAGTTCTCTCACGCTATTCTTTCAACCTTTTTCTCTAAACAATCAACCAAATGTATCAAAGCACAAGCACACAACATTCCCCCTATTCAAACATAAAAAATAATCAATTTTTTGTCAAAATGGCCAACGGAACCAAACTTTGACACCAAAAGAAATGGAGAGGGAGGATGAGACATAAGCCGGTGGCACCCCAAATACTGGCACATGAGCACAGGGCTCCAGGGGACGCCAGAGCTGGCGTATGGATACCACTAAGAGAAAAAGTTCCAGCAGCCATACACACACCTAGTATGGAATCGACATGAGCAAGCACTCGAAGAACTTTTTAATCTTTTTGTGCATTAAGTCATGTTATGAAAAATGTAGGTCTGTCAAGCGATTAAAACAATTAATGGCATAGAAGTGGAGAATCAGGCCATTAATGTCAGGATTATTACACTGGTGTGAAGAGAAAGCCCAAGAAACCTTCCTCTCTCAACTCTACACAAAAAAGGCAAAGAAAACAAAACACCACTTGCCTGCCCCCCAGCACAGCTTCATACAATCCTCTAAATGCAGTGGTTCACAGGTTGTGTGAAATTCCCCTGACTTCATGCAATAGCCTTCTCCTGGAAGTAGGATGTTTTCTCAGCATTTAACCAAAACCAGCAGTTAGTTAACGCTGTCTAATCCCCATTTCCTCCTCCTCACAAGAAGGAACAGTACAACATACAGAAAATATTTGCACAAAAATCAGTACAGGAGTTACTATATGGGAATACCAATATGCAGGTTCTCCTAGGCCCGGCCTTTCCATTCAGTAAAATGAATGCTGTAGTTAATAAAACCATTCTCCATGCAGCACCGTTTGCTTGCTACTTACCGGCTGGTCTGCTTCACTTGCTCTGCACTTTCTCCCCGCAGCCTCTGTGCTTTCCTGTCATGTGCTCAACAGCAGCAATCAGCCGACTGCAAAACAGAGAAATCCAGGCTGCTTTTTCCACCATTGCAGAAGCAGCTGCAATAGCCTTGAGTCCCAGCTCCTCACCACAGCAGGGAGAGACAGAGCAAGGGGCCTGATTCTGTGCTCCTTTACATCAGAGCAATTCCACTGGCAATTACTTCCCACTGCCTTGCATCTTGGACCAGTGGGAGAGTTAAGAATTCTAATTTGGTAGCATTAGGCGAGG